GGCCCCCCAATTTTTGGCTGGTTCTAAAGTTGCTTTCCTCTCTTTCCTTTTTTGAGCTTTGCCACTTGGTTTCATTGTCTTTTATTGCTATATAATTCTTGATTTGTACCCCTGAACGTCCTCTTTGAGATTTTTTCCTGTAATTTTGTAATTTTTATAATATTATTTTGTAATTTTTTCCAGTGAGATAGGGCATTCTTTGTTAAAGAATAACATGGGAGGGGTGGAAGAAGAAGGTTGAGGCACTTGGCAGCTTTCTTTGGTGTGTTTCCAAATCTGTCAATTTCTTCTCTATGAGAGAATGTCTCTTAGATTCTCAGGTTTGGGCACTGAGGGGGTTACTGAGGTCTCCAGCAAGCCTCTTTTGGGATAAAGCTCTCTGGATTACAATCTAGCAGTCACCTCTCCATCCCTTACTCTCTCATCTCCGGGAGACTCCCTTGGCATAGAGGCCAGGTCACAGAAAAAAATGAGCATCCACCTGACTTCTCCTTGGCATTGGCCCTCCCTGCTATCATCCTTGTTCTTTGCAAGAACACTATTTCTCCTGTGAGGTCCTTGGATCTCGTTACTCAAGTCTAAATTTCAGTTATTCGGACGCCACTTCTACAATTTTTGCTTCATCTGAATATCACCTCTATTATAATCAATGTTCTTCTTTGAATCAATTCCCAATTATTACTTATTTAAAGAGGAGGCATATCACTATCAGAAATGAAAAGCCAGTATCATTTGTGATAAATAGGAAGTAACTATTAAGGCAAATGCTGAAACAGAACGATGATAGTATGTTGTACCTAGACACAGTTGTCTGCTGGAAGCTGAGTCTGAGGGCTGCATATTCCTGGTTAGAAAGAGGCATCATTACAAATTAGAAATAAGTTGAAGACCATTGGCCCCAAGCCAAGACTTTCTTCCTGATGTAATCACAAGTGGAAGAGAACTCAAAATAGCTTTTTCATTATGTTATTCGATATAATCAAATGACTGTCCGTGCACCACCTAAACTTATTTCCTGTTCCCCAAGTAATACAAGGCCCCCTTGCCTTTGAGAAACCCCACTCTCATTCAAGGATCAATGATTTGGTCCCTTGGGACTGTGACACTAACATCTAAGAAAAGGTGTTTCCTGCTCAAGGCTGGAGACAGTGTATATTGGCTCTCAGCATTTTAACAATTTCAGTGCAGATTTTACAGTATTTGGCAGGCAAACTTCATGGTTTGTGGTTTGAGGTTTTGAGAGTTTCCTCGTTTCATTAAAAACGGGGCTTTTTCTGCGTTTTTGCTTTGTTTTGTTTTTTTGTTGCTTCCAGCAGATTTGGTGTGTGTGTGTGGGGTCTGGGGAGGTCGGAGGTAGAAATATCTTTACTATCTTTCACTGGATCTGCATGTGATGTGCATGCCTCTCTCCCACTGTGCACTAGTTGGCACAGTTCCACGCTGCCAGAGCTCAGACCAGATACTCCAACTCAGCCCAGCACTCCACATCTGCCACACTCAAGGATTTCTAAGCTTGTAGGTACTTATCTGGGATACCAGAAGGGAGAGTGTGAAATTGCCTTGATGCTTCCGTCCCCTTACAGAACTTCCTTCCCGTTTTGTGGACTCAAGGTGTGTGTGCCTTCCCAACACCCTTTTTGAGAACAGTGGCCATATGTCAGCTTCAGCAGTGGATAGGTGTCTTCAGAGAGTATGAACCTTACACCCCCTAACTGTTGGTCTCTGTATCCTGCAGTGACTCCCTTAAATTTGCTGCATCTATATCACACAGAGGAGGTTCTGACCAGGTGAAAGATGTTGACAACGTCACTTTTGACTTTTCGAAAGAAGTTCTTTCTTCTCTGAGTGTTTACCTGAGTGTTTTGATAGAGTCAGTTAGAGGGGGTCAAGATGTGGTAAGCCTCTGGTGTTCTCTAAATCTTATAAATCCAAAGGTGAGGAGCTTCCCTCTCACACTGCAGGAAAAATGAGATCATTAAGCCCTAATGGCTCACACCAAATGAGGTCCCCCTCCACTTTGCTTCCACCCTTCCACTCATGCTAAGGATAAGTGAAGCCACAGCATGGTGCCATAGACACAGGCCCGCAAGATAAAGGGGTGGTGTGCACAACTTTGGGTGCCCTCATTCTGGCACCAGAAGCCAGCAAGCCTTGTGAAAGGCAGTTTCTAAGGGGAACAAACATATTTTCAAGCTTTTTCTCTATTACTCTTCTGGGCCTTAGCAGAACCATGACACCTTCCCTTTCCCAGACAGACTTGCCCTGGCTACTTGCTCATCTCTCAAGGCCAGAAGGAACAGGGATATTTTGCTTAATTCCAGCAGCTACGTCCAGCCCATCAACCATTGTCTCACATGCCTTCAACAACTTCCTCCGTGGATTTTAAGCCATCTTCTCACATCACTGTCTCGTTAATTAAGCCCCTCCCACACTTTTTTTTTGGTGTTTTCAGCCACTGATTTATAGTTTTCCTTTCTACCATACCTAGCATCATTATCGCCTATGAGAAGTTGTTGTTGTTTCAAAATTCCAGCATGTCCTTATTTATCTTCCTCTACTCTAATGGTTGTACATTACAAAACTGGTTCTACCTCACAATCCCTTGGGGACCTTTAAAAAACATCCCAAGGTTCAAGCCCCATTCTAGGTGCCAGCGATACTGGGATGGATGCCCAAGAGATCCCCAAGCCCACAAGCTAATCCATGCCTGCTTCCAGTCCCTCCTCCCTCTGTCCAGCCACAATGAAGGACTAGGTTTCACAATGAAGGACCTCCTACTCAAAGGCAAACCTCTCAGTGAGCTCAGGTTCCCAGCCTCACTCACTTTTTCAGAGATTCTCTTCATTGGTTCTCCTACCTCTGCCCCATCCACCTATCTCATGACCATTCAAACATGTTCCAGTATTTCTTATCTTAAAAGACAGTCAAATAGAAAATTACCATTAGACTATCACAGTCATAACTGTAATAGGCAAGACCCACCAATGGATGCTAAAATTAGTGGGCGAAAGTTTAAGGAGAAACCAGGTATTTGCATAGCCTACAAGTACCTCACACATTCTCCCGAGACTTATTAATTACAATAGAAAAAATAACACCGTTAGAGTAGAGAGATCTGGCAAGTGCCACCTGAACCAAGTGTTCAAGGTTAACACCAAAAGTAATAAGAATATAAACTTCTTGTACCTCTGATATGGAGAATTGACAAAGAGCACATCACGTCTGTGTTACTCTTGCCAAAAGATGCATAACTTCAATTGAATCATAATAAAACATCAGACAAACCCAAGTTGAAGGGCATTCTTCAAAATACTTGACCAGTGCTTTTGAAAAGAGTTGAGGTCGTTAAAGTCAAGGGAAAACTAAGAAACTGCTGCAGACTGGAGGAAACTAAGGAGCCAGGACAACTACATATAATGTAGGATCCTGAATTGGATACTGGCACAGAGAAAGGACATGGTTGTGTTCCAATAAAACTTTATTTATGGACATTGAAATTTATATTTCACATAATTTTTATGTGTCATGGTATACTCTTCTTTTTTAACCATTAAAAAAAATTAAATCATTTTTATGGAAAAAGTGGTGAAATCTGTAGAGTCTGTAATTTAGTAATGTTGTACCCATGTTAATTTCTCAGTGTTAATGATTGAACTATGGTATGTAACATATTAACATTAGAGGAAGCTGAGTGAAGGGTATGTGGAAACTCTGCACTGTTTTTGCAACTCATTTGCAATTTAAGAATTTTTTGAAAATAAAAAGTAAAAAAACAAAACAAGAAAACCTCCCTGGGTCCCTCCAGCTAGGGCTTTCTCTTCTCTATTTTCCTTCAGGGTCAAACTCCTTGAAAAATATGTCCACACATGCTGTTTCTACCCCTTCACCTCCCATTTGCTCTACCAAAACCACTCTGGATATTGTCACCAATGGCACCCAAGTTGACAAATTCATGGGATCTTTCCAGACCTCATCTTATATGACCTCTTAGGGCATGTGACTCAGCTGACCGTTCCCACCTTCTCGAAACACTTTGGCTTCCAAGAAGCTATGGGTTTTCCTTCTACACCTCCAGCTCTACCTTCTCATTCCAACATCTCAATGTTGAAATTCCTTAGACATCAGTCCTGGGCTCATCTTTTCTTCCTTCTGCACATTTTTGCCCCAGGTGATCTTATTCGTACCTCTGACCTCAAATACCATCTATCTGCCAGTGATTCCCAAATTTATATCTCTATCCTAGAACTCTCTGCAGAGCTCCAGGCTCATATATCCACATAGCTACCTAATATTGGACTTGGATGTCTCAAAATAAAACTTTTGATCTTCACTCTGGTATGTGTTCTTCCTTTAACTCACCCCTCTCATTAAATGATACCATCATCCCCTCCCATCCACCTAGTTGCTCATGTTAAAAACTTTGGTGTCATTTCAGGTACCCCATTTCTCTCACCCAACAAGTCCAATCCTTTATGAAATCCAAAATACATATCCAGAAACATTCCATTTCTTACTCTATCTCCTGCACCCACTGTCATCTTCTGCCTATACGGTAGTGATAACTTCCCAACTGGTCTTTCTGTATCCCCTTTTGCTTCCTTCAGCCCAGGCTACAAACACTAACCACAGTGACCTTTTGGAAATAATATTCCATTATATCGTTCTCCTGTTTATATTCCTTCCATTGCTTTGGACTTCACACAGGAAAAACTCCAAAAATATTAATAAGGCTTACCACATACTTCGTGATTGGGTCCCTGTCTCCCTCTGTTAACTAATCTCTTGCTCACTGTGTTCGGGCCCCACCAGCTTTCTCTCAATCCCTAACATACATAGACTCTTCACCTGCCTCAGGACTTGGCATCCGTATCTTCCTAAAATTTCCTCCCACCCCGCCAACAATTCACTTGTGAAATAGTCAGGGTAGACTAGATTTTGCTTTGGTAGCAAACAACCCCAAGATCTTGGTAGCTTACGCCTAAGATTTATTTATTGCTTACATCACTTTGTATGTAGGTCAGGGAGGCTCTTCTTCAAGTGGAGACTCAAGGGTTCAGGGTTCTTATAAATTGTGGCACCCCATATTCGAAAGTTAGCCTTTGTAGTTGCTGTGGAAAGAGAAGAAAGTGTAGGTGATTATGTAGGGGGTCTCTGGCCAGGCCTGGAAATGGCACATATCATGTTTGCCCACACCCCGTTGGCCAGATCACAGTCACATGACCTGAGTCTAACTACAAAGGGGAAAAAAAGTAGTTTTCCTGTGTGTCCAGGAAGAGGAAATGAGATTGGTGAGCACCAGGCCAGTTTCTGCCACATCCTGGTTAAAAGCTACTCATCTTTAAAGAATCAGCTAAAATAATACTTCCTTATTAAGGCCTTCGAGCTCCTCCAGCCTAAATTAGGTTGATATATTTTATTGTAACAGCCTATAATTTTCCTTTATAGCATGATCACAATGGAAATTTTGCCTTTTGTTATGTGATTATTTAATATTTATTTCCTTTTCTAAACTGCAGGCTCTATGAGAGCAAGAAGGATTACATCTGTTTTGCTTCCACTGTTTCCAGCATCTATCACACTACTTGCTATATAATTGGCGTAAAAGTTGTTGAGTGAACAAATGAACAATTACACACAGTCATTCCCTGGCTCCAGCTAGCACACTACTTGTGGAAGAGAAAGGCAAGTAAGTAGGCAGTCATGGTTTAGTGGGATAAATGTTCCAGGCAGGTAAGCCCAGGTTGCTGAGGCAACCTGAATGGGCTGTCAAAAGCTTCTCCGCTTTCTCTTCCCTGACAGTCTAATCCAGGAGTCTGCAAACTATGGCCTGCAGGCCAAATCTAGTTTACTGACTGCTTTTTACAGCCCAAGAGCTAAGAATGGTTTTTACATTTTAAATTGTTGAAAAGAATTAAAAGAAGAAGAGTATATTGTGTCACATGAAAATTATGTGAAATTTAATTGCAACGTCCTTAAATACAGCTTTCTTGGAACATGGCCATATCCATTAGTTTATTTATTGTCTATGGCTGCTTTCACACTGCAATAGCAACATTGAGTAGTTGTGAAAGAGACCGCTTGGCCCTTTACAGAAAAGGTTTGCTAACCTCAGATCTAATCCATGCTGACTTTAAAAAGTCACTTCTATGTGAGTTACATCCAAGAGGCCATCTTTAATCCTCCCCTTTTCCTATTCTCAGGTCCACTGCCAGAAATTAGGCCCCATAAATTCTGTGAAAATCAAAAAAGGGACACCTCACTAAAGGGGAGCCTACCACTCCACAGCAAATACAGGAAGAAATTGGCAATTACAGACTCCAATAAGTGAACAGTCAAGAGGAAATAATGGTCAATTACAGGATCCGCTAGGAAAAGATGTACATTGTATCTCTGATAAGAAATTGACTGTCTCTACAACTCAGCCAATGAGAACCCATCATTACCCTGAACTCTTGCTTTTCTCCAATGGACTTTCCTTCAAAACAACCCCTGCCAACTTCCTCCTTTTCCACTAAAAAAACTCCTCTCCTTTGTTTATTGGACTTGTCTATGATTTTTCCATAGCTTGCACCTCCCAAGTTGCAATTCTCTGATATTCCTAAATAAACCCATTTTGCTGGTAAAATAAATGGCTATTTTATTTTATTTTATTTTATTTTTTAGGTTAACGGTTCTATCTTTGCCACAGTATTCTTGCCCTGTTATTTTTCTTTTTCTCCAGTCCATCGTTCTCACTGTAACTGAAGCTAACTTCCAAGAGAACAGCTTTGGTATTATAACTACTCTTGGAGACTCCCCAGCCTGGACTACAGTGCAGTACGAAATCCGCACTGCTTAGGACGGTAGTCAAGGTTCTCCATTGTCTTTAAGCACCTTACCTTTTTTAGCTGTTTCTCTTAGGTCATACTTCCACCCAGTCTTATCAATCACTTAACCCACCCTTGCCTTCTCTACTTCCAGGCTGAACGTCACAGCTCATTTCTGCATGAAATGTCTGCTGCTGGTATTTCTATCTAACCCATCCTTTAAGTTGGTTATCTCAAATTCCTTCTTGCCCTAAGAGCTTTCCCTGCTCCCCTACTGAGAATAATTATTGCCATCTGTGCAATTCTCTAACAGTTTGTACCACTGTTTTGTTTCACTCTGCTTTATATTTCCTGTGTATATACGGATTGTTTCTCACGCTCTATTGAAAGCTGCTTAGGGGAAGGTATTGTATTCTGTTTTATTAATCTCTGTATCCTTTTGAGGACTTGGGAGTATCTTGTACAAAATGGGAATGTCTATCCTTTGCAAAAGTCCTCACCGAGAGAGCTGGGATTGTTAATTTTTGCAATGTCTAATAACTACCTGCATTTACGCACAAATTCCACTTAACTAGTACAGGGCACACTAAGGCAAGTAACATCTTTTTTAAGACACGCTGTCTTTCAGCTGGGCACACGTCCGTGGATCGCTGCTGGACCCCTCAGGTGTATCCGCAAACACGTGTGTGAGAAGCTCTTCCCTCTAGGCCCCTCCTCTGTCCATTGTGATTGGCGGACCAAATGTTCCAATCAGCCCTCCCCGCCTCTTTCAGCAATAGCCAATCACAGACTCCAAGCGCCTCCTGACTACTAGACACTGTTTACTAACAGATCGAAGCTGGGGAATAAGGGGTGTGACAGTTCTGGGGAGGTGAGGGAAGGGAAGGTCCTGACTGCGCGTGCGCAACAGCGGAAATGGGCGGGGCAGGATCTCAGGTCTCACCAATCAGAGTGGTCGCGTTTCTCCCTCTCCTGCCTCCCCGCCAAGCAACAACAATTCGAGGAGCTGGGCGGGGCGGCCCCCGAAGCATCAGAGAGGATTGCCCAATGGGAGCCGGCGTTCACAGATGCGCGCGCCCTGTGCCCAATAAGCGATGGCGGCTAGAATGGCTTCTCTACCTTGCTGACTGTGGGCGGAGCGGCCAGGAGGAGGAGGCGGCGGTGCAGGGGGCGGTTTGGTTGCGCGGTACTAGCGGTGCCCGCCGAAGGGGGAGGAGGCGGAGGAGCGAGCCGTGCGGCCAGAGCGGGAAAGAGACTCGTCGCTGCGTCCGAGTTCTGGAGCCGCCGCATCCCGGCTCCCGGAGCTGCAGCGCGAGCCGTGAGGGGCCGGGCGTCCGTTGTCTCCCGGGTTCCCGCGTAGGACCCCGCGGGATCGGAAAAGGGAGAAGATGGAGGAGGGCAGCAGCGGCGGCGGCGCCGCGGGGACCAGCGGGGACGGCGGCGCCGGGGGAGAGCAGCTCCTCACTGTCAAGCACGAGCTGCGGACGGGTGAGCGACCCCGCCCTCTGGCGGCCGGGCCCGGCGCGGGGGCGCGCCCTGAGGGCACGCGGGTGCCCGCACGGGCC